TTGCGTGTACGTGTGTACGTCTTGCGTGTACGTGTGTACGTCTCGCGTGTACGTGTGTACGTCTCGCGTGTACGTGTGTACGTTGCGTGTACGTGTGTACGTTGCGTGTACGTGTGTACGTCTCGCGTGTACGTGTGTACGTCTCGCGTGTACGTGTGTACGTTGCGTGTACGTGTGTACGTTGCGTGTACGTGTGAACGTCTCGCGTGTACGTGTGTACGTTGCGTGTATGTGTGTACGTCTTGCGTGTACGTGTGTACACCTGAAGTGCGTGTGTTTGTACGTGTGTATGCGCCTGTGCTTACTATCACCTGTACATTGAACTGTTCTGTGCTCCGTACACTGTAAAGTGTACAGTGTAGTACACTTTACAGTTTCGTGTGTGTTGTGTTGTTTTCCTGGCTGTACACTGTGTTAGATTAATACACTGTATTAGTAAAGTGAATTAATGAACTGTATTAATACAGTATAATGTATATTGTACAGAACTAAAATGAGTCTTACTTCGAATGATTGATGAGAGTGAAATGCAGTGACATTTGGGGGTGCGTGGCGCAGCAACTGATTGAATGTCAACAATTTGGCTTGTATCAACATGACATCAACACAATGGCGTGTATCAAGATAGTCATGTATTAGCGTATAGGTTCAGCATAATATCTTCTATCAGCATAGTATCAACATGATATCTTGTATCAGCATTATATCAACATGATATATTGTATCAACATTGTATCAACATAATATCAACTTCACAAATTTCATATTATGCCGTCATTTTCGAAGACCTCGGCATGTAATGTTAAAAGCTTTGCTGTACTCAGGCTGTACGATGTATGTATTTTTAATGTTATCGATGTATTATGTAGATCGTAATGTATATCGATGCATCTATTTCTTTCAGTGGAGTTATTGAATATTAAAAATACAATGGACAATAAAATTTCTATGTTGAACTATGTTAAAATTCCTATGACAATAAAATTTCTATGTTGAACTATGTTAAAATTTCTATGACAATAAAATTTCTATGTTGAACTTATGTTCAACGCCGGTGACGTGAGAAGAATTGTTGGCAACAGCGCGCTGTAGCAAGTGACGCGCAGAGAAATGGCTGGGACTTTGTCCTAATACCAAATGACGCTCAGAGAAATGGCTGGGGCTTTGTCCTAATACCAAATGACGCTCAGAGAAATGGCTGGGACTTTGTCCCAATACCAAGTGACGCTCAGAGAAATGGCTGGGACTTTGTCCTAATGCCAAGCGACGCTCAGAGAAATGGCTGGGACTTTGTCCTAATACCAAGCGACGCTCAGAGAAATGGCTGGGACTTTGTCCTAATGCCAAGCGACGCTCAGAGAAATGGCTGGGA